TCAAGTTTAAATGAAAACTCTGTGAACAAAAAAATCCCAGCTCTGATTAACCAAAACCTTTATCCAGAGGTAGACATCTGGCATAGAAAACTCCCACGTCTACTGTTAAAGTATGATAAAGTTTTAATTGTTCAAAGAGAAATCTCAGAATACTAACATCAACAGCTATTTTAAGTAGCACTAACAGTTCTGCCTGTGATCTGCATGATCCTGATTTTGAAACAGGTGATCCACTAATAGAAATGGCCTTTCTTGAAGTGTTTACAGTCTAAAATAATCCAAATCAAAACATGCGTGTTCCATTTTCATTATTAGCAGAGTGTCTGTATAGGGCCAAAGCTTTAAAAAGCTGGGTGGAGAGGAATCCACTCATGGCTGCTGAACAGAATGGATCCTTAGAGGTGTCCTGCTAGGCATCTCTTAAAAAGAAATAATGTATATTAACTGGATTATACTCGATTATTTTGAAGAGAGTGAGGAGGACTTGTCATGCTAACAAGAAGCTGATCCTGTAGAGCTTACTGCAATGATGCAGTAGCTTCAATGCGAAGATGACAAGGCATTATCTGTTTATCTGTGGCCACATATTCCAGAAAACTGTTTCTAAACCATTTTGCTATTTTTTAAGCACTTCTTTCAAAGATTTACAGCCTACTCATAAAGCCAAGAAGGCAGGAAAAAGAGGGAAGAAAAGATTCCCTGAACAAAATAGAGCAGAATAAATTGCAAGCAAAGCAAAGACAGGTATACTGAGCTGCTACCTCAATGTCAACGTTCGGTTCTCTCCGTTTTCGGAGGTTGGCAATTGAAATTCATCTTTTGAACTGAGACTACACATACAACACAAACTCTGCATTGGAAGTGGTGCAAATCAATATGCTGGATTCAAGTTTTCTTTACACGACAGACATTCCCAAATTAGGTTAGTGTATGTATCCTATAATAGATATAAATTTTGCTGCATATTACATCTAATTGAATTAGAATATAAACCAGCCATCTCCACTATAACAGTGAAGGATTTGCGTTTATTCCTAGATCCTAATGGCATTTCACATTTCCCTCTACATGCAAAAAGTTCAGAAGTAACAGTCTTGCTATCCGTGACTATTTTGGATAACTTCAGCCATTGGAACTCGGTGAACCCGGATGCAGCATTTGCAGTGTTACTTCATTTATCACATCTAATATGTCCAGGACTTTCTCTTTTGAAAGCATTCTAATATCTGTCCATATTTTGATGGACTTTCAATTTGAACATTCACCAGGTAAGCTGGAAATAACTACTGTGTGTACGTTTTAGATATTGAAAATCTACAATTTCAAAAACTGAACAAGCACCTTCAGCTGACATAAGTTTGACAACCCCTCAAGCTTCTTACTCACAGCTTTACTATCATCACTTACAGGTTACATGAGAAGATGTCCTGGTTTCAGCAAGATTATTTGTCCATTATTCTCTTTTTCTTTCTTCTTCATACAGATGATTTTGCAAGTCCTTTTCCAGGTGCTATGTAAAGTTCAAGTTTACTCTAGCTCTTTTCACTTAGAGCTCAGGTATCGTTTATTTAGACCTAAGGTTTATTTGTCCATCAGCTTCAGCTGTCATTGCTGTTAAAGATGCTGACACAGGGCAAGAATCAGAACATGTCAGTATTAAACTACTAAGGATTATTAGGAATCCAACCTACAGAACATATGAAACTGCATTTCAATTTGATCTGTTTGAGTTTAATCATGGCTCTTGCCACTCAAATTTGCACTCTTCTGTTGCTAGTTCCTCCATATTTTCTGAGATCCTTAATATCAATTTGGATTTCCTCTCCAGTGGTGAGTAGTGTTAACAACATACTAGCTAGTTCTTAATGGTGATTTAAAAAAAATCACAGTTATGCAACCTAAGTTGCTCCATTGCTTTGTCTACTCAATTTCTTATCATAACTTGCTTATATTATTACCTTTTCATTAGGTAACAGATAACATACTTGGAAATAGTTATTCAAAGTATGCAGCAGTTGTAGAATTACTCTTCTAGTTATTATTGATGATTTTTCCTGCATAATGCTTTAAAATTATAGTTTTCATGTATATTAAATTACGAGTTTTATCATGACTGAAAAGTTGTGCTAAAAGCCTGCTGTTACTGACAACAGCTTTCACCAGAGCATTAGCCAATCCTTAAAAAATCCAGGGTCTGGGGACACCTTAAATAACAAAGATCAAGACTGTGAAATTAATTTAAAACAGAAGAGGGCAGATCTTATATTCCTGCAAGTATCTGTACTGCTGAACAGACACATTGCATTGTTTTATAGGCATCAACTTCAAACGTTGCTGTTTCTATGCCCAAATAACCTAGGCATCTCTGTAGTCCACTATCTGTAGTAGTGATAACAGAAGTCACAAAGTCAGGTAATCACATGCACAGTGGAACATTTTCTTAGGCAGAGAAGGATGACCACAAAAAAAAAAAAGGTGGATGCAAGCAATCAAATTGCTGAAGTAGAAATCACACCATCTTAATATGGGACCTACAGAAAGAAGCCACAGGAACAGTTTGCTTCCAAGAACTCCCTTCTGAATTCAGTTTCAATAGCTTTTCAGCTACAAAAAGATTTTATTGAAATAAAAGTGGGAGCAGTGGGATAATTTTATGCAATGAAAGCCAGACAGAGGTGGTTTTCTCCTGTACTGCTGACAATTAGTCCAGATCACAAAACTAGTCGCTACTCAACAAGACACCTAGCTGTAAAAACATTCCTCATCATGACCATCCAGATGTTAGATCTCTTGTTACCTTGGACATCTACCACCTCTTTCAGATGGGACAATCGAGGCTTCAGAGATATACAGAAGAAAAAAAAAAGTATTATTCAGAGCCAGCTTAAAAGACTCAGTAGCAAAGGCAAAAGCAAATTTTGCTACCACACCAACGAGAGGCTACTTTTCATCCTGCAGGGAAGGCTGGCATACAAAAAGCACAGAATTGGGACAGATCTAGAGGGAAAACCCTGTAAAGTCAGGTACAGCGATCCTATTGATGCCCAACAGAGAGAAACAGCCCTTTCGCAGAAGATGAAGAGCAATTCCCCATTTCCACAGCAGCAACCACCAGCCCATCACTTTGGCTGACCCCTCCAGCACCATGATCAGCCCGGCTTGGCAGGGCACACGCCAATGAGGCTTTGAAGCCTTTTGCCATTTTGTTGTCTCCTGGCAATCTTCTGTGAGCAACAATCTACCTTCCTTCTTTGAATAGGATACTATTTTGATTAGGACTGCACCAGATAATTACAGAAGTACAAGTCTCTTGGGTTCTGACAACAGTCTGAGAAAACAATGTGGGCTTTGTAGAGGAAGAAATAACCCATGTTGCTTGGCTTCCCAAATGTAGACAACTTTCCTGCAAAGAAGGATG